TACGATCGTCCTGCAACACGTAAACCTACATATACTCGAACGTCTCGTCGAACGTACTATGGAACGCACTGTCGAACGCACTGTCGAACGCACTGTCGAACGCACTGTTACAGTACCCCGACAAAAGTCACCGGGCAGATTCCCCGCACCATATTTTTCTATATACCTACCTGTATTCTTCGTATAGCAATTGCTTATTTAGTTCTTTATTTAATATTATAAGATTATTTATATAATGCCTATAAGATCTAAGTATACGGAATTTATACGTGGCTAAGTTATAGAGGCCCGTTTATATGGGAAAATAGAGCGTGAAATCGCCGAGCTCTTAAATCTACCCAAAAGTTCTATATATAATATTCTATATAAACTATAGCTAAATCCATAGTCTAGATCTAGAAGACCTAAAAAAGTAAGTAAGCGTTTAGAGCGACTTATACTACGTATTATACGAAAAAACCCGAAGATTATATACGGCGAATTAGCTAAATAGACTAGTATTGTAGTATTCGATAAGACTATTACGCGAATACTTAGTAAGTATCGAATTCGAAGATAGCTTACTAAATATAGGCCTCGATTAACGTAAGATTATACCGATAAAAGACTTAAATAGGCTTTAGAGTATAAAGACTAGACGTAGGAAGACTAGCTTAATATAATCTAGAGCGACGAATGCTTAATTTAACGAGGCTCGAGTAATAAGCGAGAGTAGGTCTTTAGAATATCCGCTAATAAGTAGAAGAAGGAATATATTTATAAAAAAGATAAATCTTAAGATATTACTATTATAATTTAGGTAGCAATCTAGGGATCTAAGGCATTCGACGCCTATATACTAGAGCGAGACTTCGAGGCTAAAAAGCTAGGATATTCGGCCAATTCCTATATTAAAGTACTCGAGAAGAATATCCTAAGGTGCTAGGAGCCCGGTCGGATCTTTATATAAGATAACGCGCCTATTTATTCGGCTAAAAAGGTTAAAGCGTGGTTCGAATCGTACGGAATAGTCCTTATGGAATAGCCGCCGTATTCGCTAGATCTTAACCCGATAGAAAACCTATAGTAGGAGCTTAAGCAACTTGTTAATACTATTAATCCTAAGCTTAAGAATACTACTGGAGATTCCGAAGAGATTCGAGCACGATTTACGTCTATTATTAGTAGAGTATGGGCGAGTATTCCTGCTCGGCGCATAAGAGGTCTTATTAAGTTAATAGATAACCGTATGAACGCTATTATTGAGGCTAAAGGCTAGTATACGTCCTACTAATAGAATCGGAAGAGATAGTATTATTACCCTATTAATTAGCTATAGAATGATTATAACTATTTCTTTTTTACTAATAAATTAGGTGTAGAAGAGAATTAGGCGTATAGGGGGTGTAGTTGAGGTGGCGCAAAATTGTGGAGTCTGCCCGGTGACTTTTGTCGGGGTACTGTAAGCGCGCAGTTAGGCGTGCAGTTGGGCGTGCAGTTAAGCGTGCAGTTGAGCGTAGACCTTTTCGATTATAGTTCTACTAAAGTAGTGCTAGTAAAGTAGTGCTAGTAAACGTAGAAACCGTATCGAGGCTCTAAACCGTATTCGAGACTCTCGAGGTTTACGAGGTTCAACACCGTATCAAGATAGTATTGAACCTCGAAATCGATTCCACTACGGTTCGAAACCGGTTCCAAACGTTGATTTTATTATCGATTTAAGCACGGATCAAAACCGGTTCGGGGCCGTACTGGATCCGTTTCTACTACGGTTTTACTACGGTTCGAAACCGTATCGGATACTATATCGAAACCGTGTTGATACGGTATTAACACTGTACACAATTGATCTACTCTACTATGGCCTACAGTACTGGCCTTCTATAGAGGCTCAATCCGGGATCGATCTAGGATCAGACCTGAACTAGGTCTAAACTAGGTCGATCCTAGGTCGATTCCTAGGTCGGAGGCTTAATCTGTTGATTTTCTCAGATCCGGATCGGAACTAGATCACGTATTAGCTACTATAATACTACTAGTATAGCTTTTTAAAAAAAAGAGTTCGAATCCTACTCGAGGTACTATTTTTTAGTTTAAGACTACCGTTAGAATTTTTCTTTTTTAATTTATAGACGATAGCGATATCGTTACTACTCGACTACGATACTATTTATAATAGTTTTTTCGATATATTAATCTATAATTTATAAATATTACGTAATATATAAATTCAAAAAAATTAAAATTTTTTACTAAGTTAAGAAGTGATTCTCGATACGTTAGTTAGCCTATAGCGATCTCTATAGTGATCCTCTCGTAATTCTCTCGTAATCCTCTCGTAATCTACGATATATTATTTAGCCTATAAGTAATCCTATAGTGATTCTCGAGTAGAATTAGATTAGGATCGAAGTAGGGTTAATATAGCGTCGATATAGGATCGATATAGGATTAATCCTTTATAGGAGGGCATATATGTATATAGTAAAGAATCACTTACTTACTGACTTAATTTAAAAAGAATTAGAAGATTTAATTTTATTGAAAAATATACATATATGCCCTCCTATAAAGGATTAATCCTATATCGATCCTATATTAACGCTATATCGACCCTACTCTAATCCTAATCGGATCCTACTCGAGAATCACTTATAGGCTAAATAACGTATCGTAGATCACGAGACGACTACGAGAGGATCACTATAGAGATCGCTATAGGCTATGTACTATGTAACTAGCGTATCGAGGATTACTTCTTAACTTAGTTTAAATTTTATTTTTTTAATTAATATACTACGTAATATTTATAGATTATAGATTAATTAATCGAAGAACCTATTGTAAATAGTATCGTAGTTGAGTAGTAACGACGTCGATATCGCCTATAAATTAAAAAAGAAAAATTCTAACGATAGTCTTAAACTAAAAAAGAGTACTTAGTATCTCGAGCGAACTCTCTCTCTTTTTTTCCTAACTACTATCTTAATACGTAATCTTTCTCTAATCCGGATCGGAGAAAATTAATAGATTAAGCCTCTAATCTAGTAATCGATCTGGGATCGATTAGGATTAGAGCTAGTTCGAACCCGAATCAGACCTAGTTCGGATCTAGTTACTAAATTAGATCTGATCCTAGATCGATCCTAGATTAAGCCTTTATAGAAGGCTAGTACTGTATATTAAGTGATACATATGCTGGCCTAATAAGGGTTCATCTAGAATTGATATAGAATCGATATATAATACTATATCAACCCTACTCTAACCCTACTCTAACCCTACTCTAATCCTACTCGAGAATTACTGAATTACTATAGAAATCACTATAGGATTACTATAGAATCCCTTATAGGCTAACTACTATATAATATATCGGAGATCACTATAGGATCACTTAATATACCGAGAATAACTTACTTTTAACAACTTAATTCTTTTATAAAAATACAGTATATTACGTAATAATTATAGATTATAGATACTAGTATAAGTCTCGAAAATAAGTACTAGGTATCGTAACCGAGTAGTAACGACGTCGGTATCGCCTAGAATTTTAAAAAGAAAAATTCTAACGGTACTAGTAGCCTTAAACTAAAAAAGAATAGATTAAGCCTCCGACCTGATATAGTAGTCGACCTAGGATCAATCTAGAATTAGACCTAGTTTAGTAACTATATCCGAACTACATCTAATCCTAGATCGATCCTAGATTAATCCCGGATTAAGCCTTTATACAAGGCTAATATAGTATCGCCTAGAATTTTAGAAAGAAAAAATTCTAACGGTAGTCTTACTATATAAAATACACAAATTATTATCTTAATACGCTTAAACTCGTATACTATTCTAAGCCGGCTCCAAATCGATTACGAATCGGTTTCGAATCGGTTTCAAACTACTAGTATAGTTAAATTATAGTTAAACTATATCGAATATATATTAGATTACCTAAATAGTTTTAGAACTATATTATTATAATATTATTACGATACTAATACTATCTTAGTTCTATAGTAGGTAGATATCGATATAATATTAAAGATTATAATCTTAGGATTTGAATAAATAAAGTTAATATATACTAGTAGTTTATATACCTAATAGGTCGAACTACTCACGAACCGGTTTCCAAATCGACTCTAAATCGACTCTAAACCGATTCTGAACCGATTCTGAACTGTATTTGATATATATTTGATGCCGTAAATAGTTCCGAAATCGTACTGACACGGTTTTAATATATACTAAATTATCGGGCTCTAATATAATCTGTATTAGTACTATACATATACTACGCTTTAGCTATAATTCCGAACCGGCTTTGATTTAACTTACAAGCAAATCATGCTTCAAATTGTACTCCACCCTCCGCTCGAGAACCAACCACTAGGCACATAGTACTGTAATCTACCATGGCCACTATATTTCACGCATACCACAAGAACACAGGATACGAAGTATGGTAGAGCTTAGAAAGCGGCGACGTCTCACATTGAGGAAGAATTACTAGTACCCAGGCCTCAGCTGGCTGAGACTTCTGAGCCTTACTAGGCTCATACAAACAAACAAATCTTCGTATCTAGAGAGCCCCATGTCCAGGTCAAGTAAGACACAAATGCATAGTACACCAACAGCACAGACAGCTTACATCTTTCCTGGTTTTGCTCTGATCTGGGTCCCATGTTCTCCTTTGAAAAATCAACTAGCCAAACAAACGCCCATGACCGGGACGACTAAGCGCTGGCAACGTAACCAGGATAACAATCGCACATTTGCAGGCACTCTCACTTCGAAAGCCTGGCCATGCATAACTTGACCTGGAGCCCCTGCTTGAGGCCGCACAAGGGAAAGAAGAGCCCATCAAAGAAATAAGCCAAGAAGCTTGTAATACACACGTAGACAAACCGTCGCAGAAAACCACACCGAATCCAATAATTGGCAGCGAGCAGACTCCTAGCGCATGGAGGACTGGTTTTTGAGACTCCGGCGAGGGCCTGCCGATCTCAATTCATGGACTTCTATGCCTCCCGCGGTGTACTTCGCTCCAACAGACCTCTCATAGAGACCTCGACAGTACTGACCTCCTTCTGGACTTTGAGCCAGGACACCTCCGCCCGAGCGGCCTCCATCTTCGCTTTCTCCATTGCCTTTTCCGCGTCTCGCGCCGCATTGACCACTCCCACCATAGTCTTCGACAGTTCGATGAGAGCTGTTTTACGTTGAGGGTCGGCTTCGGCCCGTGCGAGGTCGAGCAGTGTATGTGTAAGGCTTGTTGCTGAAGACAACGAGGGCGAAGTGGTCGGGGATGTTGCAGATCCAGACGAGAGCGAAGGAGAAGCAATATTCGACGGCGATGGGGAAGTTGGAGGAGGAGACGGTCTGACAGTCGCTGTGAATGGAGTGGTAGGGCTGATGAAAGGGTTGCGCAAGACCGGTCGTCCTCCCGGGGTTGCGTTCTTGTAATGAGTGTCATTCGGGTTCAGCCCGGTGGTTCTTGAAGAGTCCGACGACAGGGGATTGGTCAGTCTAAGCCCCCCCGGTGCTGGCTTGCGTCGCAGAGAGCCCTGGAGATGGGCTTTGCCGGAAGACGTAATATCCGACCCTGCACTGGAATCCACTGATCGTTTGTGAAAGAGACCGCGAATGTTGGAAATGACCTTCCTGCTGCTCGACGAGGGCGTATAGGACAGCTTGTGCGGGGCTTTGCGTGGTTTGGATGAATCGGTTTTCGGACTGATACTCTGGGAAAACGCCTTCACATTCTTTGGTTCTGGAAAAATAGTCGGATCGACCTCATATGCTCTCGCTGCTCGGGCTGATCCCTGCCCGTCCGGTGGTCCACGCTCTGGCGAAGATACGATGATTGGCGGTGGCTTGGGCTTCCGTGAAGATGTACGAGGCGGAAAGTCTGAGCCTGACGCCCTGTCACTTTCCGAGCCTTTTGTGTCGTCCAGGATGTCTCTGAGATATTTCTGCTGACTTGCCTTTTCTTGTTCAAGGTCCTGAAAGAGAAAGGGTGATATCTCTTTGGTTGGTGCTTGACGTAGAACAATGGTGGACGGCCTCGACCGCACAGAAGTTCGGCTTGACGATGGTTTGCTTGCCTCGGCGGCAGAAGGGTCAGGTGAAGGACCGTCCCTCTGTTGTGGACAGTCACTGGAGATTTTGAAGTCTGCGAATTCTTTCCCGGGCCAGTCCGAATGATTGAAGCACAAACTGCCCCGCTTTTCTGTCACATCCAGTGGTGCCGCCTCGGTTGCATCCACAGAGGCTATAGAATGAGACGAGGGCTTTTCACGAATGCTCAAGTCACTTCCTGGAAGCTCTGCAGGCAGATCGGTTCCATCATTTTTGTCGTTTTCAATCAGGTTCTGGGTCTCTTCATCGTCGCCATGCTTAGATTGACCCTGAGATCGCTCGGTAATGCTTCTTGCAAATGAAAGGGGACGTGTCAGCAAAGCACTAGCCCGTCGAGACTGGTCCTTCGTTGCCGGTGGCTCAGGGAGGTCTGGAACACTCTCCTTCTGATTCAATGTGACATTCAGATCTCCCATGTCAGGAGTGCCGGATTGAGATTCCTCGCCCAGGAGTATCCTAGATGCTGAGTCATTGATGCGGAGCGTTGGTCCTCCCTCAGGTGTGTTTCGAACGCGTCTAATACGAAAGCCGCCCAATGAGTCGGAGCCTTGAACAGCAGCTGCAGAGCCCTCGCTCCCCATCTGAGACTCGTCATCATGAGGCGGAGGGGTACACAAGACTTGCTTGACGTCCAGAAGTTGAGGCGCTTGTTTGGACTGAGTCTCATGTGGGTGGCGGTTATGTCGAGCGATTGTAGCAGGCGTAGGAGCCAGGTCAGCCCATGTATGCTCTGGGACACTCGTGTCTCTCTTTTCATCTGAACGCTTAGTCTCATCAGTGGAATCATTGCCGTCCACAGTTTTTGCTCGAGGCTGACCCCGGCTTGGCAGGGGAATCGAACTCTGACGAAGTGCTTGCTTGGATGGGACAGCATGACCCGTGGTAGCGGGATCACGACCATGCGATAGTTGCTCGTCTCTGAGTGGCATGACCGCCGCATTCGGGCTAAATTCTGCGCGGTCTTCAGCATCATGGGCTGCCTTGTGGGACTTTGTAGTCAAACGTGATGGAATGGTGTATGGTGATCCCCGAGCCGTGACGGCATACCGACCACGCGACTGCGAGCGGAAAGGTCCTCCAGGAGAGAGTTGTCTTGCTCTTGCCTTTGATTGCGACTGGCCCTTCTCTTGAATTGGACGCAGGTGGTCATCCTTCTCCTGCTTCTTCTCAGCAGATCCCCAAGCTGTTTTGCCAATAGACCGACGCAGTCTCATCGCCGAGGTCTTGGTCTGTCGAGCAGAAGGGGCGTCGACATGGCGTGCCAGGGATTGTAGCATGGAGTCTCTTGGCTTGGGAAGTTGGCTGGAAGAGAGCGGTCGGTCGGAAGTATGGTTGGGAACATCAAGCAATGCCTTGCTATTGGACGCCTTGTTTGATGCCTTGCCAGACTTCGCAGCACTGTTCGAGAAATGAAACTTGGGAGGGTGGTGACTGTCTCCTTCCTTAGTATCTTCAATATTTAGTCCGCGCATTCCTTCAATAATGCTTTCGCCCAAGCTGGGCTTCACTACAGATCCGGCCTTTGGGGGCGCGGCTGGACCTGGGCTGGGTTTTACAGGTGCCATGGTAGGCCAGTGGTCATGCTCACAGCCCTGCCCCCCAGAAGGTGATATGGATCGACGTAGAGGACGTTCTGAGCAGTCAATGAGGGATCGGCGAACGGGTGATCCGACCTTGACCGCTGCCACAGGAAGACTGGGTAAAGGCTTGTCGGTAGGGCTTTGGCGAGGTAGGGGACGGTTTCGCCGGTCAGAGTTGGGCGGCCGAGAAGCAGAAAAAGTATGTGCTTGACCCTTCTTTGATTCAGTAACCATCCTTAAGCTTGACCTTGAAACACTCACGGTGAAGTCGCGGGTTGACGCTGGCTCTGGAGACGCCAAGGTCGTCGCCGAAGTAATGCTATGTTTTGTCGAGTCCATCCTCTCCCGTGATTTTCTCAGGCGCAGATGCTGTGATGCACTACTGATCCAGCTTTTCTTTCTAGTTCGTGGAGCGGATGAAGTAGGATTCAGAGGAGAAGGCTGCCCGCGGAAATTGAAATCAGGGGGAGAGTTCACTGTAGCGGTGCAGAGGCTGGAGGACACAGCAGTGGTTGGGAGAGGAGCGGTCTGTGGTGTGATGTTTCGAGAACGGAGTCCAGTAGGCTTTCTCGATATTCGACCTTGGGCCGCATTGTTCGCACCGGCGTGACCGTGCCCTCCTTGGAACAGGGACATTGCTTCAAGGCTGTGCGTGAACAAGTCTGACAAGATTATAATCGCGTACTGTTGTGTCCGGAGGGTAAGAGGGCGCGAATTCAGATGTTTGTTGTCCTGGGCAATATGGTGTCAGAAGACGCGGCAGAATTCACCGCAGGCGTTAATGCCGCTTAGGCAGAGGCGCAGAAGGACTTTCTCTCTCCTAACCAACCTTACTTCAAAAACAAAAGAACCTCCACATATCATTCCATTTCTCTCTCCGTGAAGCTCTCATGTTACGCTGGGCGCATCTCATCTCATCACTGACCGTTCCAACCCTATCCAGGCAGCGTCCAAAGTTGAGCGGCCAATCCTTTGATGTGCGTTTGCAACAACAAGCTGGACGACTAGTCATTCTCGTCTCCATTGTTGCCCGCTTGCGCGGTTCCTGTGCCTTTTTTCTGCTTGCTGGACTCATATTGCTCCATGTTTTTCGCCTTCCAACCCGGTCCGCCAAGGTCATCATCCCGTAACCTCCAACCAGGGTCAACCTGAATCCCTTGTGAATCGGCCACTTCTATAAGCCGTCGCTGTTCAAGAAGCATGGCTCGCAAGAACTCCGTTGTCTTGCTCAACATCACTTGCTCACTTCTCTCCTGGCCCTCGGCACCAGGCACCATATGCGAGAGCTCCGTAAAGCGCTGTCTAATTGCAGTCCTCCGCTTGTTTTCGGCATCCTTGTGGTTGAAGCTTTTCTGACTTGCTGTTAGGCGTGGTTTGGCTACCTTGTTTGATTTTTTGCCAGAGCTGGGCCTCCTTGCGGATGATTGTCGGGCTTCCGACCCCTCTGACGACTCCCTAGACGAGGGACCAGACTCCGTGGCGTCCTCCTTGGACATCGTGCTTCAGATCTCCGGTGTTTATTTTCAGTTAGATGCTCCAGGCAAGCGACGAGGCTTGCATTGGCCCAAGAAGCTCAGCGTGGGGGGTTTTTCAATAATGTGGAACTCAAGGCGAGTAAGCCTTCCCATGCCCAGATTCAACCAATGTCATATGTGAGGAACTGCCAGTAGTTGCGGAGCTCCAAACAACTCTCAAGGGCACTTGAGGACTGGCCACGCCTATGGAGGCTGAAACTGGTTGCGATCCTTGAATCAACGTGGTGTACTGTGCACAGAATCTGTGTGAAGAATCATCGTCCTAACCGGTGTAGCCTGAGCAAGATTCCCATGACTTCCATTTAAGGTTTACTCTGCTCTATGAGCCGCGGCGTGCTAGACTTCAACTTGAAGTGGGCTGAGCCTCTGCGGCGGCGTTAAAGCCACTCGCATGTGGCTAAAACCCGTGGAACTGCAACTTCCGCCACTTTCTGTCGAGACACATCGAACTCGCTTCCCCGTCATACTAATAGTAGGACCCTCCGTTCAGCCTTTTAAAAAGCCGCATTTCTATTTTGTTTGCTTCACAAACACTCGCCAACACTCTGCAAAGTAACCTCATTCACGAAACATTTCCTCTTACACTCGACAACATGAGCAGACTAAGACCTCTTCAAGGTGCCTGCAACTGCGGCCGCAATATGTATTCCGTGGTTGTTCCGGAAGATGCAACGGAGCGGGCACAAGTCTTCTTTGACGATAGCAGCGACAGTAGTATGTTTGCTCCATCCCTTGGACGATATCTATACACAGAACTAATGGCTTTCTCTTTCAGGACGAAGTCAAGCCACACCGTTAACAGCATGGCTGCGGGTGCCTCTAGATTGGTACTTCTCGTCGACCCAAGCCTTCTTCCCTGACGAAACGCATTCCTCGATCCGACGCACTTTCACGCCTTTACATGCACCACATACCCAACGGGTGTTCTGCGGCTACTGTGGAACACACCTGTCATACTGGACCGAACAACCAAGATCCGAAGCCGACTACATGAACGTTACCCTGGGCAGCCTTTTGAGCCGAGATCTACATGCCCTTCAGGACTTGGACTTGCTCCCTGAAGAGCTTGAGCTCGAGGATGTCCAGCCTACTAGTGCCCAACGGAGTCTGGTCCAAGCTCCAACAGAGCAAACGATAGTCACACAAGACGAGAACAATGGGCTCACTCGAACACAGCGGACCGGTAGAAGTGGAGGGCTGGCTTGGTTTGAGGAGTTGCTCGAGGGAAGCCGTCTGGGCCGTACCCAGAACATTAGGCGTGGTGTTGGAGTCAGCCCAGATGGGTTTACCTCGGTTGAATGGGAGATATCAGAGTACATCGACGATGGCACTGAGGAGATGGACTCGGCGTCGACACCAACAGGCTCGAAGCGGAAGATTGGCGACGTCGGCGGGAACGATGCGATGGTTTTGTAAGACTGCACGACGGATTGGCGAGCAGATGCAATGTTATCCTCATATTACAGAAAGGAGATGGGGTAGATGGTACCACCGTTTGCTCGTGGAAGACCTGATCAGGGCTCCCCGCTGAGCCTCCGCTTACTGTGGGCTGATAAAATGAGAACCTCATAATGTCGATGTCTTAAAAGCAATAAGACTACACAGGCCATCTTGTAGCTCAGGATAGTCGAGGTTCGCACCAAAACACAGCGTTTCATTTGAATAGACCGTCTTTTGGGGTATCTATTCTGGTTTTATGATTCTATCCTTGTTTAGACTTCCTTTTGCCTCAAGTTCTCAGGCAGCGTAGCCACCTTGCTGTTAAATAGCTCTTCGGCCTGTTGCCAGACTCTCGAGTTCTTGCGGTCCTTCAGAGTCAACAGGCTAGGCAAAAGCGCCTGGCTGAAGGCTTCGCTTGCCTCACGTGGCAGCAAGCTGGGCAAATGATCAATGGAGATCACAGAAAGAGGAGGGTTCTCGTAGCCAGGGACTGGCAGAGTGGGGTTCGCGAACGTGCTGTTCTCGGTGTAGATCGGAATCGGGTTGTGCGGGTTTGTGGTGTCGCACGAGACATCGCAGACAACAGAGAGCTTGCGCTTGGGCGATGACAGCGACTCCTTGTTGAGGAAAGGCGCGATAGGTTCAGAGAGGTAGATGCAGTTCACGAAGATGTCCGACTCGACAATCTCGCTGAAGGGTCCGCCCTTGGCCGTCTCGGCCATATCCCATTTGATGATCTGCTCATCGGGGATACCGACCTGCTTGCTGAGGTCGACCGCACCCCTACCGCAGCGACCGAGGGCCCCGATGACTAGCACCGTAGGCTTGCGGCCTGCAATCTTCTCCCCTTCCGCCATCTTGGCCTTGACGTCGTCAACCAGGAGGTCCTGGTTGGGGTAGCTCGAGACCCCTGGCATTTGTTTCGCAGTTGGGTTCTGGAGCTGGTGTGCCCACGCCATAATAGCGAGTGCTGCACCAGCATAGCCTGCATGGTATCCGAAAGCTGCCACACGCCGTCCAGAATCATCGGTCAGGAACTCTAGGTCGAGCAACGTGCCACCGCCTCGAGGGAAGCGGGAAAGGACTTCCTGCCAGCCACCCTGGTTCTTGTAGCAGTGCGCGAACTGGACATGAGTGTGCTTGAGCGGGACTGTGTCATTGTCAGGAATGCAAGGTGATCTTCATGATTTGGGACATTGGTCCATACAGTTGTCCTCCGGCAGCTCCTTGAGTCCGATGATGATGTGGTCTGCTGGAGCGTCGACCCACGAGCCCTCGGGCACAAGGGTTGCGCCTACGGCCTCGAACTCCGAGTCATCGAATATTCTTTCCGGGCTCCTTTCCACGTGAACCTTGTATCCCGCCTCGATCAGGGCCTTGGTCGTGGTGGGGGTCACTGGTTGCAAACAGTCAGTCATGAGCTCCAGCGGGAGCAGTCGGTCAACGTACGAGCAGATCTATGCTCAAGAGGCTTCGACTCGGACCGTAAATGCAGAGTAGTTGCCATGGTTGCGTTTGAGCTTCTGACTAAAGAGGTGAACAGTCAAACAGGTCTTAGGGAACTCGGGTTAGGATATCAAGGCTTTGTGATGAGTCCGACTATGACTCAAGTCTTTCCAATGGCGCAAATCGGTGTTCTGACTGCGGGACTTTTCCCCAGAACTTTTCTGCCACCGCCAAAAACACCAAAGGCCCGAGATGGTCCCGGGGAGACACGCGGCGGAATTCGTGGACGATCCAAGCCCAGCAACAAACTTCTATCCAGCAGCGACTGCACAGCAATAGTACTGCAGGATGACAGACTCAAAGACTGAAACTCCGACGGATGCGCCGCCATCATACGAGGCACTGTCGGTCCCTCCCCAGGTGCCTCAACCTGGGGCTCCGCCTCGTCGTTTGCGACCTCCCCCACCTCTCGAGTTGCCCGCATTGAACATGCTGCGAGGGAAAAGGGTCATTCTCGCATCACAATCGCCGCGACGGAGACAGTTGCTTGCCCAGATAGGCCTCACAAATGTCGAGGTTGTGCCTTCCAAATTCGAGGAGAATCTGCCAAAATCGCTCTCGCCCTTTGAATACGTCCTCGCAACGGCAACCCAGAAAGCATTGACGGTCTACAAGCAGGAAGTGGACAATGAAGAGAAGGGCGAACCGGCTTTAATAATAGCCGCCGACACGATCGTGGTCAGTGGCCTCGGCGAGATTCTAGAAAAGCCTAGGAGTGAGGTCCATCACATCAACATGCTCAAAGGCCTGCGAGATACCGGGGTGCATAAAGTCTATACAGCTGTCGCCGTGATGACCTCTTTGGAGAGCGCACGAGATCCAGGCTACGCTCTGGAGACTGCCACGGAGGAGACAACGGTCAAGTTCGATCATGAAATCACGGATGAGCTGCTGCTGGCGTACGTGCGGACCAGAGAAGGCGCGGACAAGGCAGGAGGCTACGGTATCCAAGGCACTGGAGCCATCCTGGTAGAGAGAATAGAAGGGAGCTTTGACAATGTTGTTGGACTGCCGCTAAGAACGACGCTGAAGCTCATAGAGAAAGTGATGGCTAAGTCGGATGATGACGATATTCTCACGGGAGAGGCGCTGCTGGAGGAGGACGAACCAATTGACTAGAAATTTTTGGGTGCATCGGGCGGCTGGCGTTCAGGTGGAGGGTGCCAGTACTCGGTATTGAATCTGGTATAGAGAATTGAAGCAAATGAGAACGAAATGCTCAATAACTGACATTATTTGCTAACTCCTGTTTATCTCAACCAGTCATATACAACGGCCCTGTCCGAGGCATCCCTCAGCTTATGGAGGCCATCATTTCAGATGCTTGAGTTTTCCATCGTGACCAAGCGCCGACACATCCGTTTTGCCAATGGTTGCATCGTTTGCGCCAGCATGCCAGATTCTCTTGATTGCCTCCGTGACGCCCACGTCGTTCGTCTCGAACTCGTAAAATCCGATCGCAACAACGACGGTAGCCAAGTTTAACAGCCACATGAACGCCTTTCTCGCAGTCGGATGTTTATTGATGGGGATGTAGTCGATGACAATTGACCTGGCGCGCTTTAGCACTGAATATAGAGCATCGGTTAAGACGCAACCTACTGGAAGCCCATATGTGAGTGCACGATGATAGAAAAGATGAGTGCTGCATCCAGCGCTGGACTAATCGACCCAGCAGCAAAAGGGGCAATCGTTAATGGGACCAACCCAACGGACAGCAATCGTTCAAAAGTCCAGTGGTAGCTTCCATGGAGAGGATCCGGCTTCGGAACAGGCGCCGGGTCGTTGACTCCTCCCTGGATGACCTGGGGACCTGCCGGGAGAATCTTTTTCTGTGCTGTCGTCGAGAAAGGGGCCACTCGAGAGACTGGTGACCATTTCGTTGCCAACAAGGGTCGCGACGATAAGGACGGCGCAGTTCGGAGGATGCGAAGTGGCTGGGTAGTGGACGAGAAGCCTCGACAGGACGAGGTGAGGAGCTGAGACTGCCGGAGCAGGGTCGTTCTCGATGCTGCCGCCATGTTGAATGCACAACCACGTTAGCCGGACGTTTGCTGGAAGGGCAGGCGCAGTGATCAGAGAGACTCGACTTGTTGGATCATGGAGCGACTGAGATGGAGATGCTTCAATCATGCTTCCGACCCGCCAAGGAAATTCTCCCGAACCAATCAAGGCCTTTCCATTTCACACTGCCACTGGTGCATTCAAAACTGGAAGCCGGTATATTCCTTAGGTACCGGTAGGTACTATCCAAATATTGAATACATGTACATACCCAGGTATCTTGTAGTACTACCTGATATACTGGAACGTTCAGACGCCTGGCCGAGGGTCCCATGCTTATGGATGCAGCGAGAAATCCAGCCAGAAACACGGAAATCGGGTTCTGCTGCCGCTGGACGGCGTAACAACTACTTTCGGTCAAATAAATATATTTCCTCGTACTATAATCTCGTCAGAGCAATAACGGCCGACAGCAGCCTCTGGACGATCATTCGGACCAGTGCACTTCAACGCCAACAGAGCAGCTGCTGAAAAGGCAGACTGTCTTCTTTGAGCCTTTGGAGCGTTCTGATCCTTTTCGACTCACTGGCGAGTCCCGACGTACCTACCAGGTACAAAGATGTCCAGCCGCTTCAAGCGTTTGGATTTTCCAAGCAGTCTACGAATGTCGCTCTGTGAAATTATTTATCCTGCCATAGCGAGGAAATACCTGGTATACAGGTACCTGCGTAGATCCTATTAAAGTTGCGCCATGGAGCAAGCGATGCACGAATTGCGTAGAGTACTATTGCACTTCTCTTTGCACCCAGTACACAGTCCCGTGTGGTTGTATGAGGATAGGTATGTGCGAAGGAGGTCGCGGCAAAGTACCAGAGCGTTGTCTGTGCCATAATAGTATCCATTGCTAGCAGCTCAGCCTCAGCAAAGCAAAAAAGATCATGACAGCTATCTTCAGCCCGGCGATGTGAGAGTCTCAAGCTCACTTTCCATCGAAACATATGTGTGATTGTCATCCAGTGATCTGGCATATCGAAACGGATTGTGAGAACTCATGTATTTCATGCCTACCTCAGGTTTCCCTGTAGCAGCCAAGAGAATGCTCCAGGGCTGCTGGTGACAATTGCCCGTCATTCAATTCGTGTTGTTACAGGCTGCGCATGCAGCTTGAACATGATGCCGGGGCGAACTACTATGCGTGCAGATACGCGATGGCAATTGGATTTTTCTCATGTTCCTTCAAGTTCACTGTTAGCCGGGGACAAGCCTGCCTTCAATTGTCCGGCCACCTGGGGTTGGCGAAGAACATATCAAGAGTTACACTGTACATTGTACAGGGCAACATGAATAACGCGGAGTGCGGGTGGGTTTTGTTGCGCGGGTCTGGCACGCGATCGGGGTCTCACCCAACTAAGTACGGCAGGGGTCTTGGGTCAACTCGTATTTTCTCCGCTTCAAGTTGTGTATTCGTCGCTACCCACACTGCACTTCCAAACAGTCATCGCCTGTAGTCTGCGGCCTGCGTTGGTTCCAGCAGCAGCCTCCAAGCCAATGTCGATGCTTCGGATAGGCATTCCAATGTCCTGCTGCCCTTGACCCGTGCACACGAATTCTTTTGATACCATCCGTCCGCGCCGTCATGTCGAAACGGAGTTGGCAGGAGGCCAATATGCCCTCCCCACGACCTGCTCCCAGCCTTCAACGGGCTGCTTCCTCAGCATCGCCTCATTCCTTCACCTCACCGACCCAGTCAACGTCCCCGAGGAAGATACGCAATTCCTTCGATGAGCCTCCACTTCTTGCCAAAGGCCCGCCAAAACCGCAGCGAACCAATTCCACCAATGGAAATACTGGGGAATCTACCAAATTGCCCGGAATATCTAGAAAGGTGAAGGCATGTGCGGCATGTCGGAAGCAAAAGGTATGATTCTTCTGGAAGATTGTCAGGATGGAACTAAGTGCTGGAATCATAGATAAAATGCATCATGCATGGAGACCCTCCATGTCAACGATGTAAGGAGCGAGGTCTGTCATGTCGACTAAACAAGAGTTTACAAACCCTTATGTCGGAGGACTCCAAATGGAAGGCAGCAGTAACGAAGGACGTAACAGCTCTTTATTCGGCCGTGGAGGAAATAGTCCGGACACTGCAGCTACCGGCATTACCGCAGATGCTTACCTCAACACAAGACCCAGCAATTTTCTTCGACCAGGACGAAAACAACGACCAAGATGACGACGAGCAATCGCCCGATAACTCACCAAAGGTCACCCCTGTTGCTGACAACTTGTCACACGTCCCAATCGAGTCGCTGTATCAGATCACTGGCATGCGCTCGTTGAGAGCCACGGAGAATCTGACTGACGACCAGTCACGAATATGCAAACAACTCCGTGACACGGACTTCATAGCCCGTGGTATCATAAAACAAGAAGACGCCGAATACCTGGCAAACTATTACCTCAGCAAGCTTGATCCCTATATCTGGCATATGTGCCCGGACTACAAAGATCTGGAGTCCTTCCGACGGCGCTCACCGACGTTAACTGCATGTATTTTGACTGTTGCTGCATTGCACGATACTAAGCTGGGTCACTTGTATTCAATATGCAGCAAAGAGTACCGGAGGCTGGTGGCCAATGCAATGTTCGAAAGGAAAATCGACATGGAGTACCTGAGAGCACTGGTACTAGGGTCTTATTGGTTAAGCGACATCTCATGGACCCTTTCTGGATACGCCATCCGCCGGGCCAGCGAGTTCCAGTTACGTCGATTCTACCAGGATATCACAGACTCGATACGAATCCCGGGCAAGGTCGACCAAGGAAGATTGCAGGAGGCTATAGATGGGATACGTGTCTTATACGCCCTCTATATCTGTGACCATCATCTTTCCATTCTTTACGGCCGCTCGTCAATCATGCGCGATAATGAGAGCTATATCACTGGATGGGAGGCATATCTGGCATGTTCGCTCTCGACCGACGCCGATCGCAGAATAGCAGGGCAGATTTGTCTCATGTACCTGATGAATCAGATCCGAGAGACTCTTGGCCCCGAAGACACGAATTCAGTCCTACCAGATTCCGCCCTTAGCAAGATTGCAGGATTTGAACGGGATTTAGATGATTGGATTGCAAGGTTCTCCAGGCACAGTAAGGGAACCGGATGATTCTCCTTGAGCGTTTCACTAACGGGACACAGATCCTAGCCACTATATTGGCAACTGGCCAAACAAAGGGGCGGTTATGCACTACCACTGGGCTAAACTATACTTGCAATCGTACGTGCTTCGAGGACTCCCCGAGAACGGTGCCATCATCCCGGACCATTTTCTCGAGAATGCATCGGCCGCCGTGTTCGCGGCCACTGCGATCATCAACCTGCTCTTGGAAGACAAAGATGGCCAACAGGCCATCGCCTATGTTCCTCATCATATACATGGAATGATTGCCTTTGCCAGCATGTTCCTGCTCAAGGTTGCAACGAAGCACAGCGAGCAGTTGTTTGTCGACAAAGCTCGGTTTCAAAAACTAATAGGTGCTTTGGCCCAACAATTCAAAGCCACGGATGTTGGAAAGGACCACCTGATCCACCGGATGGCAGAGGGTTTGGAAAAGATGGCGGAGACTTTAGGGGGGCCACCGCGTCCAAAAGACCGCAAGATCAACGGACTGCGGCCGGATCAGTCACTGGCATCGCCCAGCCAGCCCACCGAAACTGACACGCCCGAGCGGACAACAAATGGACAGACCGCAGGCCCGGACTACAATTCTCTGGACCCAACTGCCTTTGATTTTGGCGACCCTGCCATGGGACTGGGGATGCCATTCTTCGATTTTGAGGGAACAACGCTGGATACGGGGGAGAATATGTGGAATTTTGCGCAATAGCGGGTGCACGAATTGGAGCTAGGGTCTAATGTAGCGCAATCTCAATATGCCTGGCGGTAACGCCCCGTCCTCAATGCCCTACGTAGATACTGGCATAGATGTATAGGATCTTTAGAGGCTGGATACAACGTTGTACGACTAGGATGGGAGCATGCTCTGGTCAGGCTGTGTCAGCAGGGCTGGCCAATCAGAAGAGGTGTAAAGAGAATTGCCTTGGCGGGACTAGCGCCAATTGCAAAGCACTGCAGAAGTCCATGATCTTGAATGGGAGCTTCTCACAGTACACACCTATTTCGAAGCTCAACATCTTCAACGCACGCCACAGCTGCCGAAACCGCCCGTGTGTCCTTGTTCATCCTTCGAAATGGCGTCTCAGCGGTTGGCGCTGAATCTCCAGCGTTCCCTTCGAAGCCGGCAAGCTCTCAAGGCTATTCAATCGCCTCTCCGCCGCTACGCCAACCCAGTCACTCCTACCAGAACCGAGAGCACTACACTTTCCAACGGTCTGACGGTATTTCGAACCGATACTGATGCAAGCGAGAGCCTAGCTGATCAGTAACAGATTGCGACCGAACACTCACCATGGGCGCAGACCTCGACAGTTGGTGTTTGGATCGATGCTGGAAGTCGAGCAGAAACAGACAAGACCAATGGCACCGCTCATTTCCTTGAGCATCTCGCCTTCAAGGTAAGGCTGAAAGCGAGGGCTAGAGGGACACAGACTAAATTGATGAAGGGCACTGGGCGACGCAGCCAGCACCAGCTCGAGCTGGAAATTGAGAATATGGGCGGCCACCTGAACGCCTACACCTCGGTATGCCGCGCTATTTCCCAGATATGACAAGTTCCTAACATAGCGAACAGCGAGAAAACACCGTTTATTACGCGAAATGTTTCAACTCCGATGTTCCCAAGACGGTCGATATTCTGTCCGATATCCTTCAGAACTCAAAACTCGATCCGGCCGCCGTCGAACGAGAACGTGATGTTATTTTGCGGGAACAAGAAGAGGTTGACAAACAACTAGAAGAGGTGGTTTTCGATCATCTACACGCCACCGCCTACATGAACCAGCCTCTCGGACGAACAATTCTCGGACCAAGGGAGAACATTGAGACAATCTCTCGTCAGGACCTAGTGGATTATATCAGCACCAATTACACGGCCGATCGCATGGTTCTTGTCGGCGCGGGTGGCATTCCGCACGAGCAGCTCGTCCAGCTTGCCGAGAAACACTTTGGCTCGCTCCGAACGGCGCCAGCCACCTCGTATGCTGCTGAATTGGCTGCTGAGCAAAAGCGCAAGCCCGAGTTCATTGGTTCCGAGGTCAGAATTCGGGATGACACGATCCCTACTGCACACATTGCGATTGCCGTTGAAGGTGTCAGCTGGAAGGATGACGACTACTTCACGGCGCTCGTCACCCAGGCGATTGTTGGCAACTGGGACCGCGCCATGGGCAATTCCCCTTATCTGGGCAGCCGTCTGAGCACTTTCGTCCATGCCAATGAACTGGCCAACAGCTTCATGAGTTTCTCCACCAGCTACAGTGATACCGGGTAGGTCTAAATTCGTGGTTTCAACCAGATAAGTCTTCGTGCTAACCGAATTGATCTAGACTATGGGGTATTTACCTTGTGTCTGAGAACAAGACCCAGCTCGACGATCTCGTCCATTTCACTCTTCGAGAATGGACCCGACTGTGTTTCAATGTTTCCGAGGCCGAGACCGAACGGGCTAAGGCTCAATTGAAAGCCTCGATCCTACTGTCTCTTGACGGCACGACTGCGGTGGCCGAGGACATTGGCCGACAGATTGTGACTACCGGAAGAAGGATGGACCCTGCAGAGATCGAAAGGGTAATTGGTGCCATCACCGAGAAGGATGTGATGCGCTTCGCCCAGAAGAAGATCTGGGATCGCGACATTGCTATTTCCGCCGTGGGCTCGATCGAAGGCCTCCTTGACTACAACCGGATAAGAAACGACATGAGCCGCAACGCGGCGTAGGCGGGTTTATTCCGGAGAGAAGTCGAGTGTTTTGGCAGAGCTGTGCTGAGGTAGAAGACTTTGTATTGTACAGTTGCAGCTTAATTCGAAAGAATTGCAGTTATACTTCCCTGTCTTTGAATTTCCACTACATATGCATGTGGCTTGGAAGGAGAAAAACTGTTAATCCTCCGTTGTGATGTGTGCTCCAGCGGCGTGCCGAGGCCAGAAGAAGTCAGACAGGCAGTCAGTACCTTGTCTGTTCATGAATGCAATACTGTGACAGTGCTGGTCCATAATATAGAGAGGATCAGCGAGTAGTGCTCTCACCACATCGGGTCCTCCCAAGTTGTACGGCGGAAGAGCGCGGACAGCACGCACCATCTAATGCGTGGAGCGGTGACTGAGACTCCCGGCTCGCTGAGAAAATGGATCTCGGTCGAATAACGGATCAATTTTGAACAATATGGTCCAGGTTAGGTATATCCTCCGGGGAGTTGGTTTGTTATCTGATCTCAAAGAGACCCAGAGAATGCCGTCGTTTGCTGCAGAATTCTCCAGGGCGACCGGGATGAGGCTCTGCAGTTTTCAATTAATGCTTTCAGTCGCTTATGCCTCGGCAATCTTGCAGTTTGCACTTGTCATGACGCAAGATTTACTCCTCTTGGACCTGGCGACGGTAACTCTCACAGTCCCTCTGCCATACCATGTACTGTTTTGCCCTGATCATGAGGCATCCGGGCTTATCCAGAATGTGGGTACTTCGAAGACCTCTCCGCTGACAAATGTGACATAGCGTTGCACAGTGTTGTATAAAGACCTGCAGTGGTAAGTATAGTAGAGGTGATCAATATAATCCATCCCACTCTTGCTCCGTCTCAACATTCAACTTCCGTCCAAGCCCACGATACCGAAACTGTTACACATACTTGTTGGCATCCCCGTGAACTTGTCACAACTCTGAACGCTCTCGGTTGTCTAGGTGTAGCTAACACAGCCGCTATGTCGACCAAGAACCTATCACTTATCTTCACCAAGGTCCCTACCGCACTGCCTGTCCCAGGCGAGCACATCACCGTCAAAGATGTAGGTTTCGACCTTGATCAGCCGGCGCCGCCCAACGGTCTGGTCCTGGAAACACTCTATGTCTCGTTTGACCCGTATCTGCGCGGCCTGTTGCGCGACCCGAAGGTCGAATCGTACATGCCAGCCATCCCTGTCAACTCACCCATTGCGGCGGCCACGTTATCAAAGGTTCTGAAGTCCGATGATCCCGAGTTTCGTGAGGGCGACATTGTGCAGCACGTCCTACCAGTCCAGCAATACAACGTGTACAAGCCCTCTGGTTCGGGCCAGAAGCCGCGCAAGATCGACTCCAGCGCCGGACCCGACGATATCCGGCATTACCTGGGCGCCCTGGGCATGCCCGGTCTGACAGCGTACTCGTCGCTCTATGAGATCGGGCAGCCGAAGAAGGGCGAGACCATCGTCGTCAGCAGCGCGGCGGGTGCCGTGGGCCAGTTGGTCGGCCAGCTCGCCAAGCGCGAGGGCTTGACCGTGCTGGGCAGCGTCGGCAGCGACGAGAAGCTCGAGTTCATCACAAAGGAGCTTGGATTCGACGGCGGCTGGAACTACAAGAAGGAGAAGTCGACAAAGGACGTTATCAACCGTCTCACGAACGGCAAGGGCATTGACATTTTCTACGACAACGTCGGTGGTGAACAGCTCGAGGGCGCCCTTGAGACGTTGAAACTGTTTGGCCGGTAAGTCAAAATATAGCAATGCGACAGGCCCGGTTATTCGGATTCCCTATGCCCGTTCCCTTTGTTTTTGGCGAACCGCTACATCCCCGGCAGCATGCTGTCCTCCCCTTGTCCCATTATAAAAGAACCCAATTAATGCTGACACAACTGTTTCTTGCTTTGCATAGGATCGTCGAATGTGGCCAAATCAGTCAATACAATCTACCTCCCGACCAACGCTACCCTATCCGCAATACTTTCCAGACCGTCGTCAAGCGTCTCACCATGAGAGGCTTTATGGTCGGTGACGCCAACATGGGTCCGAAACACGCCCAGGCCCACAGGGAGAATGTGTCGCGCTGGCTCAAGGATGGCACCTTCAAGGCCAAGATTCACGAATGGCAAGGCATGGAGAATGCCGCAGAGGCATTTGTCGGCATGTTGAAGGGTGAGAACTTCGGCAAGGCCGTGTTGAAGGTTAAGCAATGATTTGCTTCGACATGAGATATTTGCTAGGTGGTAAATATGTACTGTACGGTTTCTTCAAGGGAAAAGGACAAATAAATATAGGGTCAATATACAGTCGATATAGGTTGCGACTTAAAATTATTCAGACTTTTAGTACTTAACCACCAGGTGCTTAGACTGGTATCTGTAGAACTAATCTTACAGTAGATATAGGCTACTTAGTACTACCTTACCGCGCAACTGCCATATCAGTCTACGGTAGACCCACAGTAGAAATCCATCTACGGTAGAAATACGGTAGATAAATACCTACGGTATATATACGATCTAGGGGTAGAAGTACTAGTACTATTTAGTACTAGTAAAGAGCTTATATTTTGATCAAATATAATTAGTCTCGAAATTTTTCGGAGAATTCTCGGTATAATAATCGTAGTAATAGCGTAGCGGTTTAGAACGTAGGTTTTCTCGTAGTACATTAAAAAAAGAAAAAAGAAAAAAAGAAAAAAAAGAAACCTACTATATAGGCCGTAGTAGAGTAGATCAACACGGTATATCAACACGGTATATCAACACGGTATTAACACCGTATCAACACCGTATCAACACGGTTTTAATACGGTATCCGATACGGTTTGAAACCGTAGTAGAACCGTGTTAGAGCCGTATCGAATACGGTTTTACTACGGTTCCAAACCGGTTTCGATCCGAGTTAGCGTACTTAAATCGGTGATAAAATTAACGTTTAGAGCCGTATTAGAACCGATTCGGAATCGATTTCGAGGCTTAATACCGTATTAATACGGTATTGATACGGTATTAAGTCTCGAATACTATATATGGTTTAGAGCCTCGAATACAGTTTAGAGCCTCGATACGGCTATAAATCGATTCTATAACTATTTTTATATTTACTACTAGTAGAACTACTATATTTGAAAAGGTCTACGCTCAACTGCACGCCTAACTGCACCGCTGGACGCCCAACTACACGCCTAACTGTACGCCTAACTACACGTTCAACAGTACCTTTAATAGTACGTTCGAGGGGACGCTCGAGTAGGTATACGCGTAGCAGGACGTTCGACAGCGCGTTCGACAGCGCGTTCGATAGCGCGTTCGATAGTGCGTTCGACCGTGCATTCGTCCGACAGTACGTCCGATAGTGCGCTCGACGGGACGCTCGAGTAGATACACGCGTAGTAGGACGATCAATAGTGCGTTCGACGGGACGCTCGACAGGGCGCTCGACAGGACGCTCGACAGGACGCTCGACAGGACGCTCGACAGGACGCTCGACAGGACGCTCGACAGGACGCTCGACAGGACGCCCGACGTAGTAGGAAGATAAACAGGCCGCTCAATACTATATACCTATATAGCACGTAGGAGGTGGAGGCGTAGAAGTCGCGTAGTTAGATAATAATTAGGGAGGTACGACGTATATAGTAGATATACGCGGGCTAGCGATATACGCGAACGAGCGATATACGCGAACGAGCGATATACGCGAATTAAGTAAGTAGAGCGGATACGATCTCAATATACTTAAACCCGTAAACGGTTCTAAACTAGTTTCGAACCGATTCCGAATTGTATTCGAATCGGTTTCGAACCGGGTTCGAATTGTGGTGGAAACCGTATTGATACTGTATCGATCTAGAGGGGGTGGGCACCTTATAGGGTATTAAGTCGAACCGATATTATAGATATACTAGTAAAATTATACGCTTTTCTTTTTTGGTAGAGTAGAAATATTTTTCTACGGCAGATTTACGGTAGAAAGATACCTACGGTAGAACTACCGCCTATTGGCCGTAGACTGCATACATGCCCTTCTATAAAGGATTAATCCTATATCGGTCCTATATCGAAGCTATATCGACCCTACTCTAATCCTAATCGAACCCTACTCGAGAATTACTTATAGGCTAAATAACGTATCGTAGATTACGCGAGGATCACGAGAGAATTACTATAGAGATCGCTATAGGCTAACTAGTTAAAAATTAAATTTTTTTTAAATTAATATATTATATAATATTTATAGATTCTAGATTAATATATCGAAAAAACTATTATAAATAGCGTCGTAGTCGAGTAGTAACGACGTCGCTATCGCCTATAAATTAAAAAAGGAAAATTCTAATAATAGTCTTAAAATAAAAAAGAAATAAAAAGTACTCCTAATAGGGTTCGAACTCTCTTTTTTTTATACTATTATAGTAGTCTAGTACGTAATCTAGATCCGATCCGGATCCGATTCGGATCTAAGAAAATTAATAGATTAAGCCTCCGATCTAGGATCCGATCCGGTTTAGACCTAGTTCAGACCTAGTTCGGACCTAGTTTAGATCCTAGGTCTAAACTAGGTCTAATCCTAGATCGATCCCGGATTGAGCCTTTGCAGGAGGCCAGTACTGTGGTTTACGCATTGCGCTGTAAGGTATGTACGTTAAAATATATTAACTCTAACATATAGGTGCCTACCCCCTCAATATATAGGAGCCTAACTAGGGTTTTCCCAAATCGTAATACGCGACACGCAACGGTAAAGATACTAATGTTACTATAGGGGCCATACATAGTACTTACCTAGGTAGGGTCAACACCGTGTTAACACGGTTTCGATACGGTTTCAATACGGTTTCGATACAGTTTCGATATAGTATCCGATACGGTCTCGAACCGTACCTAGGTAGTAAAATCGATTCTACTACGGATTTGAATCGGTTCTAAATCGGTTTCGATCCGACCTAATATACTTAAGTAGATTAATCACAAAATTAATGTTTAGCGCCGTATTAGAGCCGGTTCCGAATTAATTTCTAGGCTTAATATATACAGTAGTATTAATACTGCGTCTAGCCTCGACTACAACTTAGACCCTTAAGTAGGGTTTAAATTGATCTTAGAACTAGTATATCTCTTTTTACTACTAGTAGAACTATACTCGAAGAACCTATAGTAAACTGTACGCTTAACTACTATTATACGCTCGCTTAATATATAGGTGTCCACCCTCTATAGGATCGGTATAGTATTAATACTATATTAATATAGGTTTGAAACTGTTTAGACTCGGAGAATCAAATACGTATCCGATATAGTTCTACTATAATTCGAGACTAGCTCGAAACCGATTTAGGATCGATCTAGGATTTGATCTAGTTTAGTACTATGTAACTAGGTCCGAACTAGATCTAATATAGGTCTAAAGCTAATCGGCCCATCCTAGATCGGAGGCTTAATCTGTTGATTTTCTCTAATCCGGATCGGATCTAGATTACGTATCAGCTACTATAGTAGTTCGAAAAAAAAAAAAAAAGAGGGTTCGAATCCTACTAGGAGCACTTTTTTTTTCTTTTTTAGCTTTTTAAGACTACCGTTAGAATTTTTCTTTTTTAAATTATAGGCGATAGCGGTATCGATACCGCTCGACCACGATACTATATAGTATCTATAATAGTTTTTTTAATATATAAATCTATAATCTATAAATATTACGTAATATA